AATCTCACCACTCTTGTCCCTTTTCACTTTTCATTTTCCAAATCACCACCATCATGCCCTCCTCTCCCTCGCTTCTATCACCTCCCAATATTCCCTCCTTCTCCTTCAATTCTTCCTCTGCTAGTCCTTCTCATCTTCCCCATTTTCTTCATTCAATTCCATCGCACAAATTCAACAAATAACTAACTCGGAATTGTAGTGATCGAAAATCGGCAATCATCACCATGGATTCAATGTCCCTATGCTTGAAGCTGCTTTTGATGCTTCACGTCTCGTGCCTCCTCGTAACGACGTCGTTGGCGGCGCCGCCGTCGGTCCCCGACCTCCTCCTCAAGTTCAGGGATTCTCTGACGAACGCCTCGCAGCTGAGCAACTGGAGCCTCAACAATGTCCCGTATTGCAAAGAGGATACTCCGGTTTGGACAGGGCTGATCTGCCGGAAAGGACAGTTCGTCGGACTGAAGCTGGAAGGGATGGGACTCGCCGGAAAAATTGACGTCGAGACGCTATCGCAGCTCAACTCCTTGTCGCCTCTGCGCTCCATAAGCGTGATGAATAACAACTTTGCAGGTAACGGTTTTTTGGTATTATGTTTACTTTTTAATTGATTTTAAGTAACAAAAAAAAAACAATTAAATTAAAAAATTACTAAAGTAGAAGATTAAAACTGATAGGGCCATTTCCGGATGTGGAGAAGCTCCATTCACTGAGAGGTTTATTCTTGTCGAACAACCGGTTCTCCGGTGAGATACCGGACGGCATGTTTTCCGGCATGAACGCGATGATGAGAGTGTTGTTGGCGAACAATCAGTTCACCGGGAGGATTCCGTCGTCGTTGACGGGATTGGGAAAGCTGATAAAATTGAAGCTTCAGAACAACCAGTTTGAGGGTCCCATTCCGGATTTTGCGCAGAAGGATTTGGACGTCGACTTCTCTAACAATAGACTTGAAGGTCCCATACCGCTTCATCTGAGTGGTAAAAACGCCGGCATTTTTGCAGGTTAGGATTTTTCTACCTCAAAATTTTGGACTTTTCAATGTTTAATTAATTTAATTTCATGCGTGCTTCATTTATTTATTTTCCATTTGCACTTAACATATACTTTTAATTAAAATATTTTGTATTTACTATTAGTATATAATATGTTAAAAGTGAATATATAATATGTTAATTGTATTTACTGAATCATAGTTCACCATGTATATGATGGACTATGATCCACGATTTGATAATTAAATATTTATTAGATTGCTAGCTATGAGGATTTAACCTTATGAGAAGAGTGATTTAATTGATTTCGCCGTTGCTTAGCCCTTGTGAAAGGAAATAAAGAATTAATTTATCAATCAAATACAAATAGAATCAATTACTCCGTATATATTGCCAGAACATAAATAGTAGCTCCATTAGAATGTGGAGGATATTAGGGGGAGATCAGAGGAATATAATATGGAGTATATATCATTCTATATTAGGGAGTAAATTTTGTGCCAACTCGGTAAATATAATACTTTATATTTAGGAGTTTTATATCTTTTTTTTTTTTTTTTTTTTTTTTTTAATTATGAGTACTATTGACTCTATTGCAAAGTAATATATGTTCTATACTTTCTCTAACTATTGCAGTCCAAAGAGCGATTCCTTGATCTTCCCTCAAGGAGAGTCACTGATGTGCCATTTGAGCACAAGGTGCTTGGCTGAGTGTTTTTTCGTATATCTTTAATTATATAAAAAATTACACTAATTGCCTTTGAATATATATATATATATATATATATATATATATATATATATATATATATATATATATATATATATATATGAATCTTACTTGTTTGGGGAGTGACTTGTTTAAAACCGGCCGACTAAAACTTTTCAAAAAAAAAAACAACTAAAATAGAATTAAGAAATAATAAAAAAGGAGTGTGGGGCTCTTAGGATTGGGGATTCAGCCTTTTGGGGTAAGAAATAATAAAAGATGAAAAATGGCAACAGATATTGAGGGACAAATAAATTGTTATTTCCATAGTATAAGTGGAAATTTGCACCTATGGGCACAAGTTATGGTTTTTTTTTTTTTTTTTTTTTTTTTTTTTTTTTTTTTTTTTTTTTTTGAATTTTTTATAACAATAACATCCCTATATCATATCATTAGACTTCTGCTGCAAAATAAAAACAAAACCCAAAAAAAAAAAAAAACAAACAAAGAGAGAGAAGATTATATGAAAATAGATGTGATTAGCTACACTAATGACATTATGCCATGCACGTCCTACATAGAACTATAGAAGTCGTCACTTTATAAAATAAATCCTTCTTTTCTTTTCATATTGAATATTATTTTATACAATTGAAATAATAGTAAATTGTTTTTTCATTTTCTTAATATAGAATAATTTCATTCCAACCAAAATAAAATAAAAAAAATCATTACCAATATATATTTAATATCAAAAAATTATTCAATTTGAACTTGTAAGTCATAATATGAAATTTACTCATATACATCATCAGGTATACGTACTATCATCATTATTCAAAACAATTATTCATATTTTCATATTTTATGTGTATATATCAGGCAATCCAAAATTGTGTGGCAAGCCGCTGAAAGTAGAATGCCCGCCGGAGGAGAAGAAGAAGAAAACATTCCCCAAAATAGCAATCATCATCGCCGCCGTGGCAGGCGTTCTCTTAGTCGCCACCCTCCTAGCATTACTCGTCCGCCGCCGCCGCCGCAGAAGCAACGGAAAAGTCCCAGCGAAAAGCAACGTCCGGGACGACGACGGCAAATTCCCAATAATCCCAAGGTCGGCGGCGGAGCACTCCGCCTCAGAGATCTACTCGCGAGGCGGGGAGAAGGGAAAGCTGAGCTTCGTGAGGGCGGACAGGGAGACGTTCGAGTTGGAGGACCTGCTGAGGGCCCCGGCGGAGGTGTTGGGCAGCGGGAGCTTCGGGTCGTCTTACAAGGCGATGGTGGTGACGGGGTCGGTGGTGGTGCGGCGGTTCCGGCAGATGACTAGCGTCGGAAAAGATGAATTCTACGGCCACATGACGAGGCTTGGGCGGCTGTCGCACCCTAACCTTCTCCCCCTGGTGGCGTTCTATTATAGGAAGGAGGAGAAGCTTTTGATTAGTGATTTTGTTGAAAAAGGTAGCTTGGCCAGCCTCTTACACAGTAAGTCTCTCAGCCCCTTCATCAACCTATCGCCACCTTTTTATCAAATTGGTCTCTTGACTTTTAATTTATTTTGGTCATTCGATTTTTGAGTTTTAAGTTAAAATAGCACTCCTTTAGCTTTAGTGTTAAAATAAAAGGTAAAATTGGAAATTTAAATTTTGCACTCCAATTTAAAACAATCTGTGATTCCTTTCAGTCGTTTGAGCATATATTTCTTCAAATTAAATTTTTACTCTCCTAAATCTTCAATCAAAATGTGAGATAATCAACTAGAATATCAGGAACCTTTGCCTTTGGGAAGTTTATGGATGAAGTTGAAGATCAACTTTGGCTAATTTATGTAAATTGCATGTTTTTGACAGGCAAGAAAGCTTCAGGGCAGCAAGGTCTGGACTGGCCAACACGCCTGAAAATCATCAAAGGAGTAGCCAAGGGTTTATCATACCTCTACGAAGAGCTCTCCACGCTAACTCTCCCGCACGGCCATCTCAAGTCCTCAAACGTCCTCCTAGACCAAACCTTCAACCCCCTCATCGCCGACTACGCCCTCGCGCCGGTAACCAACAAGGACCACGCGCAGCAGTTCATGGTGGCCTACAAGTCCCCGGAGTCCACGCACCACGACCGCGTCACGCGGAAGACCGACGTCTGGAGCCTCGGGATCCTGATTCTGGAGCTGCTCACGGGGCGGTTTCCGGCGAACTACTTGGCGCAGGGGAAGGGCGCGAGCGCCGATCTGGCGGCGTGGGTGAACTCAGTGGTGAGGGAGGAGTGGACGGGGGAGGTTTTCGATAAGGAGATGGGCGGCGGGAAGAGCGGAGAAGGGGAGATGTTGAAGCTGCTGAAGATCGGGATGTGTTGCTGCGAATGGGAGGTTGGGAGAAGATGGGATATAATGGAAGCTGTGGAGAGGATTGAGGAGTTGAAGGAGAAGGATGTTGAGGATGATTACTCGTTTGGAAGCGATGGAGATCTCTGTGTTTCTGCCATGATCACTGATGAAGATTTCTCCTTCTCCAAGACTGCTTGATCGAATCTGGATTTCGAAATTTAGGGTTCGTACGTACGTGCTTCTAATCTCCTTGGAAACAGATTGTTTAAATTCAATTTCATGGCGCCAAATGGTTTCATTTCTCCATTGGTAGATAGGTAGAGGGAAGGATGGTGTTTAATTTGTGTGGAATCTTTTTGTTACATATATATTTTTCAAAGTGTTTATTATTTTTACATGATTTTGTTCAATAAAACGAGATATTCTTGCTTGATTATTGCCTTTTTTTTTAGCACACGAGTTTGGTAGCATACTAACATTCACAATGTTAGTGTATGACTATGAAAACTGTCTCTATTCAACTTGCCCATCGATAGCAAAATCCCTCACGTCAATGACTTTCACATCTCAACTCGATAGGACTGTGAGGAACATCTCAATCTAACAAGATTGTGAATGAATAAATCACGGTTCAACATCTCATCTAATATCTGGTGCCCACAAAGGGTAAAAATCCCATACTACAGTTACTAGGACTTGATCATGCATCCTTACATATATCTGCGACCCAGAAACCAATAAATTTTGATAACTTGCAGGACATGTAACTAAATTTGGTGAAATTTCATAGTTTTCTTATTGAAAGGACCAAAAATGGAGAATGGAATCATAATCTATAGTGACAATCTTCGCAGTCTTAAACCAATAATATAAATGTCTGTCAAACTTGTGGGACTAAAAGTGACAAAAACTCTGATTACCTAATTTATAAACTAACTCAGCAAACAACAATAGAAATAAATAAATAAATAAAAAATCACCTTAATTTAACTCGAATATGCGCAAGGAAGAACAGGGGGTTTACAGGCATTATAAATTATAAATATATATTTACATTTAGAACCTAAGCATCTCAGGTGTATGTACAGATGGAAAATATGAATGCCTAAAGAAAACATATAGGGTACAGATGAACTTAATGGCAATGAAATGAAATAGGGAACTACAAGCCTGGTGTACTCCTGCTGCTTTCATAACCAGAATGGCCAGTAGGGAAACTCATATTTTCCTGTACAGTTGAGAAGAGCATTTGTTAAGAGGCCCAAAAACACCTCGATATTTATCATCATGCAAATATTTATGGCATGAAATTTTGATTCTTGATAATCCACCATAATCAGCTAAAATCACGGGTACAATATAACCTTTGCCACACATGCGAATAGTACTCTATACTAAATGAATAAAAGCCATATCTGGTAATGAGGATGAGGATGGTAAGAGTATATAGCATCCTAAAATGGAGATTATATTCAACTCTGTGCAGTGTGTGCAGATGTGAATTATTTTTGCCATTGGGACCGAGGCTAAGTTCGAGTTATTGCAAACATTTGAGTAGATGAGTTTTTGAAGCTTAGAACAATTGCAAAAATATAGAATTGACTTACTTGAGACACGGAAACTTGGCTATAGTTTGGTGAGTGGCCGGGATAATAAAAGAAAGGTTGTATGTTTTCTTCTGCGAGTGTTCTCAATCTCTCTAGTTCTGGCATGACTACGCTGCCCAGATCCGGTCTGTCTTTCCTTCTCAGCTCAGCGCATTGTAATGATAAATTGGCGAGACTCAGGGCATCTTCAACTGGCCAGTCACGCACAGCAGGATCAAGTATCTCAGCGAAGGTGCCTGCCTCGATTGCCCTTTCAACAACGTGAGTCAAACCCATTGGTGATTTAGCTGTTAGAATCTGCAAATATATGATCCCTAGGGAATACACATCGGATTTCACACCAAGCATTCCTGTTTGCTGATATTCGGGATCAATGTAGCAGAACGTTCCAGCAGTTGATGTCATTCGATACTGAGTGACGGAGTCAGCCACTGATGGAGGCACTAGCCTAGCCAACCCAACATCACTTATCTTACTCACAAAATTGCGATCTAGCAGGATATTGCCTGGCTTTAGATCACGGTGCACTATTGGTTCCGGTTTGGTCTGGTGTAGAAAAAGAAGGCCGGAGCAAATTTCAGCAGCAATTCGAAACCTGTGTTGCCAAGAAAGTGGTGGAGTTTTACCAGTCTCAAATAGGCAGTCTTCTAAGCTTCCATTCGACATATGCTCATATACTAAGCAACCATACTCGGGACATGCTCCTAGAAGAAGCACCATATGAGGATGCCTTATGCAGCTTAACACTTCAACCTGGAATCAAATAAACATAGTTAATCGAATATAGAAGCTTCACAATATCCTAAAAACACGAACTGGTAACAAAGGAAATAAAGCACTTGTCAGTATCCTAACTATCTCCACTAACTTTACATTAATAAGAATATCCTATTACCACTTTCGGAATTTTATTACTTAGCAAACGGTTACAAATGTTTCATAGAGGTTGAAGACAAATTTATATTCCCGTTTCTACAATGTGTTACAATAAGCTACCAAAAACTATACTGACTATTCCAGCTTGTCCTGCATTCCAATTTTAATCTAGTCATAATCCAAGTGGCAATACTCATTATGTGGACATTCTTGGCTCTTTACTACAATCCTTGTGGTAAAAAACCTATTTCTTAATTGAGCGTATCGTGAATTGTAAATGTGTGCTCATATATCAGTTTATTACCTCTTGCTGAAACTGTTGTCTTCCGTGAGCTGCATCAGGACGAAGGACCTTAACTGCAACAGCCGTGTGGTCCATACAACATTTGTATACCGGCCCGTAGCCACCTTCTCCAATTTTCAGAGATTTTGAAAAATATTCTGTTGCAACTTCAATCTCCTCGATTGTGTACCTCCTGTACCTGTAATCTGTTTGCGAAAATTGGTTAATCATCTTATCCGTCTCCTCTGCTTCTTTCATAGCTTTAATTTCTGCACTGATTCTCTTCTGAGCTTCAAATTCAGCCATCCTCTGAGCTGCTTCTGCATGTTCAAGCGCAGCCTTAGATTTGGCCTTCTCTCTTTCCGCGATTGCCACTGCTGCTTCCTCAGCTAAAAGTGCGTCATCCAACCTTTTCTGTTCTTCCAATTTCCAGCGTTGCAGCTCCATTGCCTGCAAAAAGAAAACGTAAGGCCATGCATAGAATTGCATTAGCTCTAACGAAATTGGTCTTTCACGTGCCTTCTGTCTTGCAGTGAGTGCTTCCTTACAGGCTGTACTGTACATTTCCATTGTTTGCTTAAGCTCCTGCTTTAGCCTTCTCATTTCCGCTTCCACATCATCCTAACGTTAAAGCAAAAAACGAGTCACAATCCATTTGAAGTAAGCTTTGATTCATAGAAAGTATTTCACGAAACCTCTTTCCATCACCATGCACTGTGCACCCTTGCTCGGTACATAATTTATGTAAATATTAGTCTTAGTACCCTTACCATTCCTGATACAGACATTCTATCACTGTCCATTGAAGCAAATGAGTACTCAGAAGATGTCATGTTGTCCAATGATCTCCGACCAAAGTTCATAGAATCAAAACTATTGGTGTCAAAGTCTGAGAAGCCTGAGAGCCGATTAGGGATTGGTCCATCTTCAAAGCTGTCAGTGTATGAAGGGAAAATGCTGTCAACACTTGACCTACCAGAACTGACAAAAGATATGTCAGTATCTGGTTTCGAGATTTCATATGGTATGCCATTTGGTCCTCTCCTGTGAGTGAATGGAGACCTGTCGCAAATATTGATATCCAATTAGGCCTTGGAAACAGAAACCAACATATATACTGTTGAAATAAACAGGGTTCGTGGTAGACTAAACCCATTTTGACGAATTTTATCCAAATTTGAATCCCATAGTCTGACTTACTTTATGTCATTTTGTAAACTGGCATTAGATGGTTCAGACAACAACCTTGAATTCCCAGAAAGTTCAGCAGCTGTAGAAACTAATTCAGGATTAGGACATGCTAGACTAGAAGAAAAAGTGAAGAACCCAACAAAGCTTCTACGGAACACTAACTCTTTGAATTGCCTGCAGATGAAAGCAGCCTCTCACTGACAGTTGATTTTGCACTATGTTGTCGCATCAGGTGTTGGCGTAGCGGATGAATGAATGACACTGGACGAGAAGCAGATCGTGTAGATGATATCTTCCCAGTTTTTGAAATAACATATACCGTACAGAAATCAGGTACCCCTTTTAACACACTTCCAGGAATATCTTTCATCTTAAATCTTCATGGAAAAAAAGAAACTGAAATTAGAACACTTACGGACATGTTTCTGCTAACGATCCTTAATTAATGCTTCAAATGGAATATAACTTCTTAGATCCTGTTTCGTAAGCTTATGATTATGAATTATGATCAATAATCAACTCTGTTATTTATGGTTAATGGATTAAGTAAATAAAAAAGAGTTGTAAAATCCATAACCTGTCAAACATTTATAGACTAAAAGAAAATGAAGAACAGGAAGTCATGAGATGAAAGGATTGAAAGCTCATTTCATTACTAAATTAAATGCAAGAGCACACACAAAAGAGAAATGCATATATATATACCTGAGAAGACCACCTTTGGCAGCAGCACCAAGAATTAGTATCTCTATCCCTACTCGATTTACATAATCAATAATTCCTTTAATAGGGTCTACATCCTCTACCAAGATTTCATGACATTGTACCTGTAAATTATATTTTATAAACTTTAGAGGCACGTAATGTGCGTGAAGATAATCATCAGTAAACAAACCACTTTTTTTTTTTTTTTTTTTTTTTTTTTCTGGTTCCGCAATAAAAAAAAAAGAGCATCTGAGTGCACAGTACTAACATCTTTGCGTGTACAATAGACACGGAAAGGAAGAAAGAGTTCTTTCGACTGGGGATCCAATTCTTTAACTGGAAATCCATTCTCATCACAAATATCATAATTCTGGTTCGGCTCTGCATCAATAACACAGTGTTGAATCAGGTTATGGAAATTTCCTTTCAAGACACAAGTCAATAGCTTCTGATCATTTCTGCACAATTGACCTGTTCTTAATGGCTGAAAAAAACTCGATATAAAATGAAAACCAGGTAAATTTGGGAATGTTGAGAGAACATATGCTAGGCCAATGCTAAAACCACAATCTTTAACAAGACAATTTTTTCAAAACAGTGTAATTTGCATGGCCTCTGCAAAATGTCAGCTGAAATTTTCCATCTCCTTACAGGAAAAATTGCTTCATAAATACTTAAATAGTTTTGAACATTTGACAAAACATATAGTGTAGAATGGGGCAAGCAACATTGATTGCAAGAACAAACCTTGAAATTTTCAAGTAAAATTCCATGATTAATAAAATTCCATTTCCCCTTGGCTAAAACTACTCTAACACCGCCTAATCACGATGTTAGAGTGTACGCTCTAGCGGCCTGGTAGCGGTAGTGTGAGAATTTCACCCTTTTGGCTGTGCCGCCACTGTGGAATTTCTGAGTTACCGTGATTTACCCTTCCAAAATCCTGTAAGGTCGGGGTGGGCCCAGTCTAGGGATTTTGCCTTTTGTGGGCAAGAGTGTATGCTATAACTCATCAAAATCCACATTGCATATACACATTATATTGTGTAATTAAACATTTCATAAATCCATATGAGAGAGAGAGAGAAAGAGATAATTACTTTGGGTGAGTTTGACATTGAGTAAAAGTATGGCATTTCCTTTAGCAACGATATTCTCAATTGACCATTTCAGAGCCATTTGGCTTCCTCTGTCTTTGTCAATGGCAACGGCTATCAACTTCTTATCTTTCCCCGGCTGAGGGTTCGTTGTTATTGGCGACGAGCCCCACATCTCTCCTCCTCGTTCTCCTTTTCATATGTTTCTCTGCATCCCCCAAACCCTCCAGGGATATACCTAATTGAAATCCAATTCGCTTTTTGATCTCCGATTCTCACTCCCCAAAACCAAACAAAATCCCAGGTTTTTGAATTGCTTTCTCCAGATACCTTTCTCGCTCGAATTTCTCTTTGAAAATGGCAGTAAATTCTAGAAAATTGTAATAAAATGAAAAGGGGAATCAAAGAAAGACATTGAAAGAGGTATGACTTTCCTTCGTTCAAAGAAGACAATTTGCCTCTAATCCTCACCATTGAAATGTGCGAACGAAGCTCCGCTTTTAGCGGCTGTGTTTTTACGAGATTTTCCACTGCTACTGCTTTGCATGGGCTATTCACTCATCGCTGCAACTTTACCGGAATAATTGGGACGGCGATCAAGAAAAAAGAAAATTACATTTACTTCTTTATTTTTATTGGGGATAAGGGACAAATTTGTTATTCAACTTTTATAAAAATTGCAATTAAGCTCTCAAACAATAAAATGCTCTAAATAAGTCATTAAACTTAGAAAAAATGATGCAATTAAATTCTTTTTACCTCATATAGCATGTTAACAAGAAGTTATATCTATTTGGAATGTGACACCAAATTATGTCTTTTTTCTGTTGACCAAAATAAATATTTTCCTTGACCTCATTTTCTCAAACACTAAAAAATTTATAAAATAATTTCCAAGGGTCATTTTTCGGGTTTTCAAACGGACCCTTACTTCTTTATTTTTTTCTAGTCTTATCAACTTGACTATTTTTTTTTTTTCTTTTGATGTGGAAAATCTCAGTTACTCCGTATTATTCATGAGTGTTTGTTGAACCGTCTTATAATTTTAGTGAATAAAGAATTACAAGTAGATAAACCAACTTAAGTTGCTCGAACTCAATATATGCCACTCACGGTTGACTGTTGAACTTGACATGTTCTAATTAACTAGGTTAAGTAAGGTGTCTCGAACTCAACAAGGCCAATAAAGTTGCTCGACGGGTTCAATCGAGATGGTACTAGTAAGAATTGAACTCGTAATCATCCATGTATAAAAATTATGTTTGACCACTTGATCACCTCTGTCGGGACAAGATATAAATATATATATTTTTATAATTTGAGTTTTTCAGTTTTGCTGGACTATATCATGATTCCATGAATCAACACCCAATATTTGTAGTGCACATTAAATCTCACATTGTTACTAAAAACAAGTTTTAAGTGAGACCACATATATCAATATTTTGATCATTGTTGTTTGTGTCATATATAGGAATATAGGATGTTTGGTAAATAGCTGTTAGATAATTAGGACAGCAGGAGACGAAGATCGTCTTCGTCTCCTGCCATGGAGATGAAGGACGGCCAGCTCGTGTTCTGTTTTTTTTTTTTTTTTTTTTTTTTTTTTTAAATAACTTTTTTGTTTAAAATTATTTTAAAAATCCGTAACTTACATGACATGTAAACATTCCATTTTAGACCTAATTGCATAAATTTGTGTAGTTCAGGAACCTAATTGTATCTTTTTTGAGTTTGATGACCTAATTATAGTTTGGTGCGTAGTTCAGTGGCCTATTTGACCCTTATTCCTAATTATATTTAACAAATAATAAATTAATTAATTTTTTAATTAAAAAATTTAACAAATAAATATAAATAAATTTATGAGGAGTCGATTTTCATTCAAAGTTGCCAATTCAGTTTGTTTAGCGCATTAGCAGTACTCCGGACGCCGTAGCTTCCAGAGAAAATAAGCCTGTTCTCATATCTCTTGCTTCTCTCTAATCTCATTCATCTTTCACTCGATTCTCCCCGTCTGATCTGACAAGTTAATACAAAGGTTTGATCTTTCTGTCTCATAAAACCTTGTTTTTATTCTTAATCCATTTTTTTTCTTTGTTAGTCTTCCGCTCGATTAATGTTTACCAAAATATGATTATCTTTGTATTACACTTTGAACTGTGTCATTTCTGTGGATACACGCTTCTATCATTCCTTTTATCGCGCAGTTCCGAGCTATGGAGCTATTGATTGTCATGCTGCTGCTAATTTTGAAGAATTTATTGTCATTCTTGTGCTGTTTGGATGAAATGGGGAGAGTGTTTGTTAGTTTTAGCTTTGCTATAGAGATATATACTTGTATTTTCCATGTTCTTCTGCGAAGTAATGCAGGCTGATTTATCTGCTTGTTTTAAAAGTGGGTAGAGAAGTGCGATATTATAAACTGATACTTCTCACATCTTTACATCATCATTTTTTTTTTTTGGGAAAAAGATCTAATTTGTGAGATATAATGATACAGTTCTACATCGGCTCTGCAAGAGATTGTATACGGGTACTTAAGGTTGGGGCCAAACCTCCACTCAGGGGCGGAGCCAGGATTAGACGAGGGGGGAGGGTCAATTACGATATGATATAAGAGTGAATAATTAAATATATTAATATTCATTTAATATATTTCAATATACATTATTAAATCTACTAAAACTGAGTAGCAAACTAATATTTTCTTTTTAATACTGTGTAGGTATATATACATAATCACCCTATGCTTATGTTAATCTTAATTAATTCTTTGTTTCAAATTAATATCTATCTTATATATCTAATTCTTTGTTTATGTAATCACCATCTTCTTTGACTTGGAAGACCGAAGCCGCCATTAATGCAGTTATTCAGAGCATGTTACTTGAAGTGAAATGAAAATATACAATACCAGTAATTCATCAAAAGATTCAAAGCTTCAAAGATATATGAAAAAATGACCAGATTACTCCTTGAAGAAGATAAGAATTGATATTGTGAAAAGCTTAGAAAATAAGAAGTTTGCAAGATTGATTGGTAGGGGCCAAATATTTTGAGGGAGGACACCAAAATAAGTATTATAGTATTTAAAAAAAAAAAAAATTGGAGGGGGGGCCAGGGCCCCCTGCACCATGCACCATGCACCATGCAGGTGGCTCCGTCCCTGCCTCCACTCATGGGCTAGCTATTGTGGTGGAGTTAGGGTATTGGTTTGAGTGTCATATCATTTGGTGCTCTCGTTGAGAGACTGGTATGTGTTGGAAAGGGCTACCCAGAAGAGCCCAGAATGAAAGCTATATAGAGTGAAGCCGTCTGTCCACTCATCCGGTGGGACGGTGCTTGATAAGATCCGGAGTGAAGCTGTCCAAAGGGCGAAGGGGCTACTTGGTGCTGAGAAGAGTCTCGAGTGTGAGCTGACTAAAGTAGGTCACCACAAGCGTCAACTTCTCAAGGGGTGGGTAATGATAAACTCCACAAGAGATTGTGAAGTGGTACTTAAGTTGGGATCAAACATCCACTCATGAGTTAGCTTTTGTCGTGGAGTCAAGGTCTTGGCTTGAGTGACGTATCATATAATCATTTACACTTCCTTTTCTGTTCCGTATATGTAGTCTTTGCATTGAATAGGCTAGATAGGATGATGATTATTAGATGATTTTCTTTTGTGAATTATGACCTGTGTGGTATATACCTATGTTGAATTTGGCAATGACTGAGCACTTCTATGTGGGGACAAATACTTTCAGTCATTCGCATTTGCGTGTGTCAGTGTTTTGCAAGCAGAGTTCAGAGTGATTATATCTGGGATCTGAAAATGGCAGCAAAGTTTAGTTTTACTCTAGGGATTCATTATTATTGTATAAAATAAAATAATTGAAGAAGCTAACAGTTGGGAAAGCAGAATATCCGAAGACTTGAGAAAAATTTAAAAGCTTTGTTATCTAGATATGCTTCCATACTAGAGAATAAGCTGTTTCTTTTTCCTGTTTCTCCCTCCAAATGCGATATGCATTGCTTTACTTTTATTGCACTGGGGGAGTAATGGACACTGTCACTTTATGTATAATTGTTTTAGTACTAAGAGTACTAGAGATGCCATCTTCTGGCCCAAAGACAGTTGACATAATGCACAATATTCAACCTTTGATTTTAAAATTCTAATGTATACTTGCACTTTGTGGTGTTTGGTCTTATCATAGGATATTTGTTTTGAAGTCCAGTTCTTCATTCAGCTTCCACATCGGGAATCTTTGCACCCAATTTCTGAAATGGTATGTTTGTAGTTTGATAATTTCTCAATTTGTGTGTGTGTGTGTGTGTGGGAGTAACGAGGGAAACTCGTAGCCATTACTCGAGGGTGTGCACTGGGTGAACCTCGCCTTGTAGCCCTAACTGGTCAGGGACTGCAAGGAGGTAAACTAGCCTAGGTTGCCCATAGCTGACCGACTCAAACCAAGAAAGCGAATAGGCTTCTCCCGCTGGGAGTCAAACTTGTAACATTGTGGTTACCAAGTCAACAGGCTGACCAACTTGGTTGGGGTTGCCCCCCTCAATGCTTATATCTTCAATATACACTTCTTGTATTCCACTGTGTTTTCTTTTGATTATAGCTCCACAATGTAATACTAAATGCAAAACCTGCTGTCCAAATTGGATTACAATGATATTGATCCTTGTCAGCTCCAAGCTAGAGGAAAAGGAACTACGTTTTATTATATATTGCTACAAAGTTATTCAGTTTAATTTTCTTGGAGGCGGCGCGGGTTGGTTGAGAAATATATTTAGACTTAGCAATACCATAGATCAGTGGTCTGTCAAAGGAGATAATAGCTAAGAGGATCTTGAAATATAAAAAAATCACCTACCCACGAATCAGATAGGACCATATGAGTAAACTATCTGTGAATTGATTATTAATTCCTGTAAAAAAAAATCAATTCCTATGCTTATTATTTCTTGAAGTATTTGCTTTTCCGGCCATATTCAAGATTTTTGTTGCCATTTTCACAGGCTGCAAAATTTATTGCAAATTTGATTGTGATGGGCTCCTCAATACTAGCAAGGGCTTTTGTTCAAGCATATCGTCAGGCATTGGCAAGTAAGAGTTTTTTTTTTTTTTTTTTTTCAATATAAAGTCATAAATAATTTTCATCGAAATGAGCATGAAATGGTTATGTGGTGATAGTCTGATCTTCCCTCAAGGAGAGCCAAAAGGTGCCAACTGAGCACAATGTGCTTGACAGAATTAAGGCCGTTTAGTTGTCTTCTTTTATGATACAGTGTGCATGTTTTCCAAATGCCTCTTAACTTTTCAACTTTATTTATATTGTATTTTTTAAATAAATTTTGCCTCGGCCTATTCAAGTTACAAACAAATCTTTTGAGGGGAAGGGTAATATAAACAAACTCCCTGTTGACACCGTTTTCCTTGCAACATCCATCCTTTTCTTTAACAAAGAAATTTCTTGTAACAAGTGGCAGATGCTTGTTGCCAAAAAACTTTGGCCTTTGTAGTGACAAAGTTCCTTATGAACTTGCACAATTTATTGATTGAGTAATCAAAATGTTTTTTGTTGTGTCTCTAATCAATTCATAAGGCATTATCGCCCATTTTTTGAGTAGAAATATGTCAGATAGTTCCTTACTTCCTTTCGTTCTAGCACTAGTTTAGATATGATACGATAATTAGTAGCTAATTTCATAATTGACGGTTACTACCATAATCAACAGTTAGCGTCAATGCGTCATAATTAATAGCTTGTTTATTGGTTGAAACCAATTTCCCGTTGGTTAAGATTGCTAGTGTATGAGAAAAATGTTGAACAAACCGAGAGTGTTTAGAATGAACGAATGCCATTTCCCGACTGTGCTCATGATTGTATTACGTCTAATATGTTTATATCATACATAGTTTCAAATGACTTCAGATGCCTCAAAAAGCGGCGTTGCTCAGGAGGCAGCCCAGAACATTATAAGAACAGGTAAGCTCATGACTGAAACGGAAGCGAGACAAATTCTTGGTGTCACCGAGAATTCAACATGGGATGAAATCTTGCAGGTTCTTATTCTTAATTTCTTCTACCTCGGTTTATACATGTGTACATACATACATACATATATACATATATACATGTATGATTTGAGTCGTTTTGCCTGCCTGCGAGCTTCATGTTCCAAAACTTTGTACAATTTTGTCATTTGCATATCGATCTTGTATATCACACGAGGATCAATCATTCGTATAATTTCCTGCTTGTCAATTGACTTCTGATTTCTGAAGTACGATGCGGTTTTCTCCTTTGCTAATCTGCAGAAGTACGACAACTTGTTCGAGCGAAATGCGAAAAATGGGAGCTTTTATTTGCAGTCAAAGATTCAGAGAGCAAAGGAGTGTTTGGAAGCAGTGCACCAAGCTAAAGAGCAGGGGACAAAGTGAAAGAAACATTAAAAAAAAAAAGTGAATAATTGTATAGTGTTTACTTTGTTGTTGCTAACATGCTTTTAAGTTCTAGTCTGGAAAAAGTGTATATATTTATGGTGTAAAATCTGAGTTTGTCAATAAAAAAAAGTCATTTTTTTAATAAAAAATATTACGAGAAAGCATGGAGCTGTTACTTGAAGGTGCATTTTGGGTTAAGCTCACTTTGTGATTTTAGTTAGCGAAAGACAACTACAAAGAGCCAAAGAGGTGAATTAGTTTATATTGTCTATAACCGATGAGTTTAAATCAAAAGGTAAAAAAATAACTTTCACGAAGAGTCAAATTTAAACAGCTTGGGCACCATAATAATCGTAACTGTATTAATATTTCCTAGTACATGGTTGAGAAAATTTTGTTCCTTAATTAATTTAATTGCATCTTTAATTTAGAAATCACTATCAATATTATTATTATAATAGTAAATGCTACTCTTACCAAGTGTTATAATATTCGAGTAGCATAGCTAATCAATATTATAATTGCTAGAAAGGTTATCCCATAGCTTTGTAACACATCTTCTGTCGATATATAGTACTATTTCTCTAATAGCTCTGGTGTATTTTTCCTATTAAACCCCTATATATTGAGTTTATTACAATGTAGTATCTGCTCGTATATACTTTCTCAACTTACTGAAGCATAAAAAGAATTAATGCCCCTACATTGGGGTTTGATCGAACCTAAGATCTCTCATTTGAGGGGTGACAACTATGTCACTCAACCACAAGGCCTTTGACATTTACTGCATTACCTTATAGTTTGAAAATTGAGCTCTATTTGGAGTAATTTTTAAAAATATTATTTTTCATAATAAGTTAATGGGACATATACAAATACATACAATTTATAGCATGCAACCACACAATAAGGTCATGACCGGAAGCGACAATATGGGTTCACAATTGTAATGATGTTGGTTTTTTGTGGGGTCCACAATTTTGAAAAAAACGAAGACCAATATTCTCGCCTAGTGCACGTGTGGTGCACAAGGAACGCAGCCCAACTCAAACATTTAATGTTCATGGCAAGAATTGAACTCCCACCCGAACTAGCTATAATATTATTATTTTTAGTTAAAGACTCAACACTAAATTATACACTTTTGTGCGCAAGCTAAGTAGCCAAATCCAAATCCCCAATGTTCATAATACGAATTGAACCTAGCCTCAAACGGGACTACATGATCTTTTTGTTTTTCCCTAGTTAGAGATTCATCAACACACTAAAGTGTACACTTATGCATATAAAGAGGCCAAATCCAAACCCAAACCTCAAATGTTCATGACATAAATCAAACCCCACCCTTACATTTTTTTCCCATCCGTTAGAGACTCAACATCAAATTAAATTGTACACTTTTACACACAAGGAGTCAAACCTACCTAAACGGCCCGAACCCCTACCTTACATCCATTAGAAGTACTAAGTCTTGATATTAAGTTAGACTAGTAATTCACCCGCGCGATGCACGGAAAAAATTATGTTATTATAAATATAAATAAAAAATAGAAAAACTAAAATATTTTAAATTATTTACCAGGACTATGTGGTCCAATGGTACCCGGGTTGGACTTCCATTTGGAAGATTATGAGTCCGAGCCTCAGTTGAGGCGTTATTGGTTCTTTGTGTTTTAGTAGGTTGAGAAAGTATATGAACAGATACTACAATGTAATAGAGCCAGTAACTTTCAAAAAAAAAAAATATTTTAAATTATTTAATATAATAATATTTTTGAGCTTCCATTGGTCAAATATTTATTATTTTTATAGAATACAAAATTACAATTAAAATTAAAATTATAATTTTGTATGGTTAATATAATCTCTAATTATGTGCATATTCAAATAAATTTATAGAGAGAATTTACATAATTACATTGATTTATTCTTAATTGTACTTCATCCATATTATAATTTTCACAATACGAATAATAACTAAGATAATTACATTTGGAAAACAAATTTCAAATTTTGTAGGTGTAAATTTAAACTCTAATTGAACACAGTACATTTTTTATATGATTATATAATATATAGCTATTTTATTTTTCAAAAGTATATTTTTTATATGATTATATAATATATAGCTATTTTATTTTTTAAATGTTGTGCTTTTTTTTTTTTTTTTTTTTTTTTTTTTAATAATAAAGGATGTTGTTGCATTAATTGTAACATTAAATATTTCCCAAACCATATAGCTTTATTATATAAAGGATTTCTCTTTCACTAGACCAATACCTGCCATAAAAGATCTTTGTTTTGTTTTATATCAAAATAAACATTCTTAAAAATAAAGGGATAGATAGAGAGAATAATATCATCAAATCATACTTGAATTACACTAAAAGTTATATCTCACCATAATCTAAAAAATATAATAAAGACAAAGTTTACAAGTACTACTACATACAAGGTTTATCTCATTATTATTATTATTATTATATGATATGATCATCATTAATTATTACACATTTACAGGCCCATTATTATCACAATCACTATCATTTTCATGATAATTATCCGCAGGCTTCATCTTCCCCTTCCCTTTAGCGGCAGCGAAAACGAAATCCAGATTGTAAAGCACAGGCACCAGGGTGACATAACACAAGAACACCAGCACAGGCCCAAAAATCCACAGCATTAACGGAAGCGCGCCGTAGAACAGGCGGTTCCCGGCGGTGTTCAACGTCAGGCCTTTCTCCAGTAGCTCCGACACGTACTCCGGGCACACCACTCCCAGGCTGTCCGGCGGGCAGTTGATGAGGAAGTTGACCTGGTTTATGAACCGGATGGAGAGGGAGTGGCTGAGGAAGGAGAAGAGGAAGACGAGGAGGAGGGCCACGTACTTGAGCGCCACCATGAACTCGCCGTGGGCGCCGTACACGGCGTCGTTTAGCGGCTTCTTGATGCTGTAGGTGCTGCTTATCACGGCGGCGAGGCCGGAGGAGAGGAGGATGGAGGTGGTGGCCATTAGGGTTGACCCCATGATTGTGTTTCGGAGGGTTTGGACCGCCAATATGTTTTTCTTCTCATTATCCTGCATCATATCATATCCATCATTATGATATCACCAAAATTAAACATATATAAAATTCAATTCAATATGTTATACACCAAAAATAAACATTAAGAAGCAGGAAAACAGAAAAATGACTTCTGAAAAATAATTTATTTTTTAGAAAATATTTTCCTTTTTTAGTGTTTGGTTGGATTCCAGAAAACTGTTTTTGTGTGTTTGGTTTATTTTCTGACAAATGAGCATAATTATTTTTAATTTTAAATATTTAAAATATACAATGATGGTGGTCGTGGTGTTGGCGGGGTCGGGTGATTGACTGCACTGTTGCAAACGAAAAATCTCATCTATTTTCTATTGACCACACTCCTATTTTCCATTGACTTCCATTTTTCCCCTCTAACCAAATACAGGAAACCTAGAAAATGATTTTTAGAAATCATTTTTTGGGTTTTCAAATGCACCCTAATTTCTTTCGAGTCCACGGTACAAAATGTTTGTATTTGAAATTTGCAATTAGCTAGGTCAATAATTAATGGATTAAATTTATAATTAGGTCGATAATGGGAAAACTTTAAAATTTCCAATAATTAAAAGACATACTATATTTGTAACTCGAAAACAATTGAGAGATCAAATTAAAAGTGTGATTTTCTAAAAAATAAATGTATAATATCACTTTAAAAAATATGTTCACGTGCTCGTTAAGCTGATGACTTAGCTCATATATAAAACCTTTTATTTTGATACCTTAGGTACAAAAAAACTAAATCTCTTTTTCCCGAGCTCCTACACCTAGGACCTACCATAATTGTGGGGGCTAATTAATTCACGGTGATTCAATAGCTCCTTGTAAGCACAATAGTCTCTTATGTAGAAGACTATGTCGACAATAAACAATCCTCACAAGAGAATGAAACTCCTATATTGTAGCGGCCAATATTCACTTTTACGTACTTAGGTAATACAATTTTTTATTTGAGAACTAATTGAATTACCTATGAGAACAATCTACTATGATACCTTGTGTTTATCTAAGAGCACCATTATCTGTTTGTGGTCGCCATAGCACGACAGAATTGAGCTTACCACAACGCAAAGAGGGTTGGGTTTGACGCAGCGAATCGAGTACGTGGAATTGTGGAAACTAAGGAAAAAAAAATGTTTGTCTGACACGGATTCCACGCAAGATATATATTGGATTGCACAATGGCCTTATTAAATATTGCTAGTTGATACTATGAACCAGTTGTCGCCTTGTCGGAATGTACCTAGTCAATAATCTCAAGCTGTTCTCATTTTTATACCCCATAACCTTTTTTTTGAAGGTTATACCCCATAACCTAAGTTAGGCAAAACTGATTGATTCAAATTAAAGTTAAAAAATTATAATTTATACTCGTCAAGTATAAGGTAATTATAAATGTCACATTTTAATTTTAAATGATATAAATATTATTAATGAGTTATTATTTGTATGCTACTGAAATTTGAATCCATGAACTCTTAGACAATCAATAAAAAATTAATATAATATGGTACAAAATATACTAATGTGGTATTCTAACCTATTAAATTGCATATTTATTATTTTATATTTATCTTAAAAAAGTATATGTATTAAAAATGTATTTTAAAACTTATACAAAATTCAAACTCAAGAGAGAGAGGAAAAAGACAAATAATACAAAAAGACTTTCTTATGATAATTGCACCACCCAATAATGGGGTACACAAGTTTGTACTCTTGATATATTTCCACAAGGTTGATTTTCCTAGGTGGATGACATCAAAGGATATGATAACAAATACTTTGTCTACACTCATGACAAACACAACTAAAGTGCCTAATCAACATTAAACCTAGGTCACCTTTGTGACAAAATAGATATTTCTATTATTATATATCTTTAATTTCTCACACTAACTCGTTAGAACATAGGGATAAGTGTATTTGTGGGAGAAAAACTGGTGTAACATGTCTTAATTTATTGTAAGAATAAAAAGGTTGAAAAGGAAAATCGTACTAAGAAGATAATGTATGATAGGCTTTACTAGAGGTGTATGTTGTGTGTCTCATATGTTACTAGAAGATGATAGATGTTGGGGCGTAGCAAGAACACATGTCTCTATGGTTTAAACCTGAACTAGGTTCGCTGAGTGGGTCAGTGGTGGAGTGTGTGGGGTAGCATACCCATGATACGGTACACGAGTAATTTTATAAATGTACCATTAGAGTTACATATAAATATGATGCTTGTAAGTTGTAACCAGATGTGTAATAATCACAATTAATAAAAAAACTATTTCGCTATCATTGACCGTAGGCAAACTACCGAACCACATAAGTCTTGTATTTTTTTAATTTTTTTTTTTGTTTTAGTATTTGTTCTTGATTTCTTAATTCTGTTTTTTTTTTTTTTTTTTTTTTTTTCAACAAGATCGAAGATACCATCCTAAAGCGAAAAACATTCTTCATACATTCAACCACCCTTTTCGATGAATTTTGTTTTTGGATCAATTGATAATTCATTTAACAATTAAATAACTATATTTATAAAAATTTGAAAGAATTAAATTTATAACTCGAAAATAATTTAAAAATAAAACAAGTGATTTTACCTTCTTATTATTATTATTATTATTATTATTATTATTATTATTATTATTATTATTATTATTATTATTATTATTATTATTATTATTATTATATGATAAATTATTATCATGGATAGCTGCAAAGATATATGCATTATTAACCTTAACGTGGACAGCATTTCCATATGTTCCATCTCATCAAAGGTGATATGATATGAATGATAATGCGTGCGCGCACACACATATACTCATCTTAATCCCTACCAATCAATCGCATCATTCGTATTACTCCTCAACGTTTTCCCCCCTTCAAAATCAATAAATTGAAGTGAAACTTTAACCTATTAAAGTTAAATCCCTAAAGGCGACTAGATCAAACTGTCTCGATCCGATCTGGTGCATTATTTATGGTCATTTTTGAATAAGAGAATAATAAAATAACGTAACTTCTCCTAAAAAAATGTCACTTAATTTTATGTATCAAATTAAACTAAAAAAAGCATCATTCAATTCTCCGTTGGACCTTTTTAAAAAAAAAAAAAAATTACAATTTAACCTCTTAATTTTTTTTTTTACCCCTTAATTGTTTTCATTTTATAAATTTGATCACTCTCTATCAATTTAAACAAATTTAATCTCTCAATTATTTATAATGTCACATTCAATCCTCGTATTATATAATGTCAAGGACTAAATATGCAACATTATAAATAACTGAGGAACTTAATTTGCTTAAATTAATGGACATTGCATGAACCAATTTTTCAGAACAGAAACAATTCAAGGACAAAAGAAAAATGATATTTTAAAAATTCCTTTCCCCATTTTACCCCTTTTTTCTTTTGGGTCAAAACTCAAAAGAAAGGAATATACGTTTTAGACCAAACTTTCATTAGCAAGTAGAAATGGATGATTAATAGCCTTTTTCCTCTCAAAAAAAAGAAGAAGCCTTTTTTATGCTTCAAACGTGGAGATCATTTATGATGGGGATCTTTTAAGACTTTTACAACTTAGAATTTCTATATATGCATGCACTTTATCTTTTTTATTTTTATTTTTTTTAAAGGTGAAGAACTAATAATAAAGTATTTTGTGTTCAAAGTGTGTGCACAAAAAGGATTCGAACCTGTAATCTCTCTTTTGGGAGAGTAACAGAAATGTCATTGAGTTACAAGTTATTTGACTGGAATTCCTGTTTTATTTGGTATGATTGGATACTGAGCAGTTTTCTATAAATTTAATCAAGTAAATATGTTAATTTTCTTTCTAAATTAGTTAAATCCAACAATTTGAAATAATTGATAAACAAATGAATAACTTTAATGTTTGAGTATTGTAAGGATTATTGTCAATACTAGTTATAACTGAATTTTATCTCATTAATTTTTCCATGCAAAATAATTCGGGATGAAATATAATTCAAACATTTGATAAGATTTTAGATATGAAAAATAACATTATATTAATAATTAATAAATACTTTTTTAAAAAAAATATAGAATAAGTCTTATGTCATAAAGATCAAGAGAACATTTGATTTGTGGTATTGTACACCGTTAATTAATGAAATTGTGTCTCTTCATTAAAAAATGAATCTAAAATTAAGTTTGTTCAACTCTCCCTCTCTCACATACACACACATATATCATAATTGTTATTTAAAGATAATTAAGTTAGCCATGGACCAAGGAGGGCTATGAACTTATGAAGAGTGATTGAGCTTAATTAGGGTCTAGCTAGGGATCATTATTATTTGTAGGAAAAAAATTGGTTAAAATTAACACTTCTTATTAATCAAATAAATGCAATTTTATGGGTCAGCCATCAATGTGTACGTATATGATCTACACATCGATAGTGTATTAATTAAAACATGTGGTCCATCTCAACTAAAAGTCTAACTGATATGAAGGTTAATTTTAAAAGCGATTTCGTTGTTATGGAGAACAAAAATTGAAACTCATACAATATTGCCCGGAGACACAAAAAAAATGGTACAAGAGTATATATATACATACTATATAGAATTAAGGAGAAATGGTTGGTAGGTAGTGTTAATATATAGCATACCTTCATGATGGCGGAGACCCAGAGGCGGCGGCCGGCGGCGTTGGTTCCGATGGTGGTGGTGAGCGGCTGCGTCCGGACCTTATGCCACAACCAAACATGGTACCCAATGCATATCAAACACCCAACAGGGACCAAAATCACATCCAAATAACACTTTCTCCACTCCATTATTGTTAATTAATCTCTAATAATTATGGCAATTCTTTATTGGGGATCGGTTCAACCAATATATAAAAGAGTGCCCCAAAAGAGAAGAATAGTTTATGGCTATATTGGGGGGATGAACTTGGACTGATTTCGGTGCAAAAACCATTGCCAAGCCCAAGCTTTAATTTATAGCACAGAAAAAAGGCAGAAGAAGAAGAGGGAAAGCTAATGCACATACATATATACATCCACTTATAATTATTGTGTGCATTATGAGGGTCTTTTCATGTGTGCAGTGTCTCAATCTTTTTTCTTTTCCAAAATATTTGCCTTTAAAGTTTCTTTATTCCCCTCAACAGCTCCCTTTTTCTTCCTCCCTTCACAATTATACCACTACCAAAAAAACTTAGAATCCAATAGGAACCGACGTTGGATGCATATGTGTCTCTAAAACAAAGGCTAAATTTAATTTACATTATTGTCTCAGTAACGTATTCATTTGGAAGGGTAACCGTGATGCTATCAGACCATAAGGTACTTGGCTGCATGGAAGGTTTTAGTTCATGTTATTTAACAAATTTATAATGAGGGTTTTTCGCAGTTAACTATTTGTTAATAGTTGATAGTTGATAGCTGATTATGTATAGCTAATTTGATTAGTTAATAATATTAATTGGTTATAAAAATATTTGTTAAATTAAATAATGTTTACTCTTAGCTCATTAGATATAAAATGACGTATAAAGGCATAAGTATATTGTACATTTACTTAATTCTTAAATTATTTTTATAATTTATTTTTATGGTAGTATTATTATTAATTATTTGTAACTATTATTTTGTGTGTGTGAGAATTAAGATGTCAGGCAATCATTCGATCATTAAATTCTTCTCAAAAGGTTGAATTCCCAACTCTAAGGGCTCCACACACCCCGGTCCGACAGAGTATCTAAAGGTTGAATCCTCAACTCTAAGGGCCTACACACCTCGGCCCAACAGAGCATCTGGGCGGGAGGATGTAAATCATGGTAACTCAACCGAACCATAGAAGCTAGACAACTCCTGGTCATTCTTCCCAAACTTCACCCCTATGACTAATTGAGCTGCCCATGCAGACCTCATTCGATCAGTAAATTATCTTTCAAAATTTGATTGAACAATTCTAATATTCTATACTTCACAATAAATTACCTTTCATTTGATTGAACAATTCTAATATTCTATACTTCACAATCTTCAATTCATTGCTGATGATTGAAAAATGTGCAATAAGTAAACTCCATTCTTATTTAATTGTTTGCAAACCACACAAAAAAGACAAACCATACAAGAATGACTTTGTGTGACAAACTCGCTTCAATTGAATTTATTTTTTATTTTTTATTTTTTATATTACCCGTCAAGATGTGAAGATTAAGAGATCAAGGAAAATAATGTTGAATTCTTAAAAAAGAAAAAGAAAATGAAAATGAAAAAAGATATAACACCACTCCACTTTAAATAATGTAAGATATATATATATATATATATATATATATATATATATATATATATATATATATATATATATATATATATATATATATATATATATATATATATATATATATATATATATATATATATATATAGGGAAGGGTTCAGGTGCGGGTATAGCTTTCCGTGCGGTTGTGCGGTTAGATCTGAGTTGTTGATCAAATTTAGATCAACGGCTCAAATCAATGAAAATTAAAAAAAAAAAATACGCGTGTCTGGAAGAAAGAAGCATAAGCTAAAAATGACGCACCTTAAGTGATAGAAACAAGCACCTTAAGTGTTAGATCTTAAGCACAAACTCACGCACATTAAGTACAAAACCACACACATTAAGCACAACCTCACGCAAATTAAACACAAAACCCACGCACTTTAAATATTAACTCACAGACTTTAAGTTTCAACAACTATTGACATTAAGCACAAACTCACGCACATTAAGTATAAAACCCACGCACATTAAGCACAAAACCCACGCACTTTAAGTATTAACTTACAGACTTTAAGTTTTAACAATTACTCACGTTAAGCACAATCCCACGTACATTAAGCACAAACCTCACGCACCTTACGCACAAAACTCACGCATCTTATATACAAAACTCACGCACATTAATCACAGATCTGTTCACCTTAATTTTGACCTAGATGCAAAAATTATAAAATTGCTACAACGTTTTTTTTTTTTTTTTTTTTTTAAATTTTGGTAATCCTGGACGTTGATTTAAGCGAGATGAATGACCCAGATTAAACCGCACAACCGCACCTGGACACCCTAACCGTACCAGAACCTAATTTTATATATATATATATGCTAAAAGATATTCGATCTTTATAACATGATTGCATGCTTAGTTGCGTCCATACAAGAAATTGTTGATTATGCAGACTGAGTACATATGATGTGTGGAACATCATATCATATAATATAACAAGGTGCATCTATAATAATTTATCTATTTTTGTTTCTACTTTTAACTATAAATATAATGGGCGAGATAATGACGGCGGAGAAGTTTTTGTCGCGGAAGCGGTCAAGCAGTATGTGGTCTTCCAACGTCATAAAAATAACAAATTCTTACCCCGCCCCCCCCCCCCCCAAAAAAAAAAAAATCAAATTCTTATATTATGATTGGCCATTTACTTTAACAATCATTTGATCCACTTAAAATAATATATATTTAGTACACAAATAATGTATTTTAAATATATTAAAAGTGTATATTATATTTAAAAAAAATACATTATTTGAATACTAAAAATATATTATTTTGTATAATTAACATTCGGTATCCAAATAATATACTTTTAATATATTAAAAACGTACTTTTATAATTAACATTTGGTATCCAAATAATATACTTTTAATATATTAAAAACGTACTTTTTGTTATGATGGCATATAACACTCTGTGAACCATGTACACATAATAATTTGCCTTACTATAACTTTATTTGGCACCCATCATCAACAATTTACTGCTATTTACCTCTTAACCAACCCATTGATTCTTACCCATACTTTCTTTGTCAAATCTGTCACACATGATCTTCCTAATTAGTTTGTGAACTATTACATAGGAGCCAATACACGGCAAATTATATCGTGCACCGCGGTGCATAATCGATTATGCAACGCGCATCCAAACGATGTCGTTTTGTTTAATGAAAAGAAACGGCATCCGTTTCTTGCCGTTCCGCATAAAGTAACTCTATTATTCAATTTCATTTTGTATACACTGCAGTTTCAGTTCAACACAACTACAGTTTCATTTCAATATAACTACAGTTTCATTCGATATTTATAGACCCAAATATGTGAAAATGTTATTTAATTTTATTTTATATACACTATAGTTTTATTAAAACACAACTACATGATCATTTTGATATAATTACAGTTTAATTGTACAATATACACTCAAATATGTTAAATGTTATTCAATTTCATTTTATATACACTGCAGTTTCATTTCACCACAACTACAGTATCATTTTGATATAACTGCAGTTTCATTTGATAATATAAAAATAATACGTGAAGCACTGTCGGTTTAGACATACTGTAGTGTTAGTTGGTAATTAACATACAAAAAAATGTGCGCTTCATTAAAACTAACGGCATGCCGTTTCTTTACTTAAAGAAACGACACCGCTTTGACCACGGTGCACGATATAACAACCCCCAATACACACCATCAAATAGTGACTGTGGGTTTCTCTTTTCAATTTCCCATTAAAAGAAAAAACAAATTGGGTCCATCTAGAATAATAAAGTATTTGGTAATTAACCAATTATGTTCAAATGCCATCCATTTATATGTTGTTTAATTATACCCATATTTTTTTTTGGTGTATCCAGAGTTTCTATTGCTGTTGGACGGACACAATGACTAATCCCTGACTGAATTGTAGTCACATGTTTCTCCCCATATTAATTACACTTCTAAAACCCCATTCCCAATCTCATGATCATAATCATGACCCAACTTCCCCTTAGGAGGGGTGAAAACAAAGTCAAGGTTGTAAAGCACAGGCACCATTGTAGCATAACACAAGATCACAAGAACCGGGCCAACAATCCAAAGCAACATCGGAATGGCGGCGTAGAACAGCCTGTTCCCCACCGCGTTGAGCGCGAAGCTCTTCTCCAGCAGCTCGACAACGTAGTCGGGGCGCACCACTCCGAGGTTGTCCGGCGGGCAGTTGATGAGGAAGTTGACCTGGTTGGTGAAGCGGATGGACAGGGAATGGCTGACGAAGGAGAAGAGGAAGATGATTAGGAGGGTGACGTACTTGAGCGCCACCATGAACTCGCCGTGGGCGCCGTACACCGCGTCGTTCAGCGGCTTCTTCACGCTGTAGGTGCTGCTTATCACGGCGGCGAGGCCGGAGCAGAGGAGGATGGAGGTGGTGGCCATTAGGGTTGATCCCATTATCATGTTTCGGAGTGTTTGGACGGCCAATATGTTTTTCTTCTCATTGTCCTGCATGCCCATGCATAATTTAAATTAATAATTAGATCACCACATGTCTATAGTGCACTATCACATGATTTTGATCAAATGTTGTTACAAGACAGAGATTTATTCAGTGTACACCATCAAATAGTGATTTCAAATTTTTCTCGTCACTCAAAATTGAGAATTTAATTTTATTGATCACCCGTTAAAGTGGACAGTATTTCTGACCACTTTTTTCCGTGGTCAAAACAGTAGTAAACAGATATGAATCCTAACTTTTCAACTATTGGTGGTCAGAAAGTTAAAAATTGATATGGATTTAAGTAGCTAATTAATTGGATTAAATCTTAATTTCAATCACATACATTAAAATTTAATTCAATTCATGTTTTCTTGTTGCATACTAATTTTCAATTCTTCTCTCAAAAGGTTGAGTTTCCAATCCCAAGGGCTCCATATTCCGACTCAACAGAGCATTTACGATGATGTAAATTATGACGGCTCAGCAGACAGAGTTAAATGTTGGTGTGCATAAGGGATTTGCCCACTTTGAATATAATTTTCACAGTGCTGTTGCGGAGACTATATACTGTCCACGCACGTTGCAACTAACCTTAATTTGGTACGGTGTAAATCAAAGACCAAAATGATTGCTTGTGACATGGTTTCCATAGTTTTCCATTCATGGTTTGTAGTGACATATTGGATTGCATAATGGCCAAAATGGAAAGAATAACATATATAGAAAGAGATGGCCAAATTATCCTATATATCATGATCTATATTGCAAGGTGCAAAGGTGGAGTTAGAAATTTCAAACATTAGGGGGGAAAAATTTTAAACAAAAAAACTTCAAAATGTAAAAAAAAAGGATTATATTTTTCTTTTTCATTTCCCATATAAATAATAAACATTTTATTTCTGATTTAGTATTACATTTGCTAGTATAAGTATTAAAGTTCATATTGATCCGACCCATCTCACGGACAAGGATCCGTGAGACGGTCTCACACAAGTTTTTATCTTGACCAATTATTCAATTCAATTCAAAAATCATATTCGATACACCCCTTAGAAAATTTATATGCAACATGTAAATCCCATGTACATGATTGAATTAACATTCAAAATTTTTTGTCATCGGATTGGGATTTTAGATTCAAATCCATCTTCACACGTTTTAGGGTTGTGGGTGTTGCTAAGGTTTTTTATGCAAATTTATTTATTTTATAGTGCTCATGTTGGCCGGAACCTATAAAAAAATCAATTTGTATACGCGTGTGAGGTGACATGTTGAATATATAATATATAATATATAAATAATAAATGTAAATAATAATATATGACTTTGTGGTCTAGTGGTACAAAGTGGCTCTCTTAATTTTATTGATTATTATTAGTATTAATTATTCAGTGAATTCCATTTCCTTTTCTATTTTTTGTAAATTATGAATCTGTTTTTTTTTTTTCAAATTTTTTTGTAGGATTTTTTTTACTGTTATTTTTATTATGACCCCTTTTTTTTTTTTTTTAAAAAAATGCTTTCATTTTCATTGAATTAAGAATCCTTTTTTATTTTCAATTTTACTGATTATTATTAGTATTAATCAGTAAATTTCATTTTTTTTCATTTTTAGTGAAGTAAGGATTTTTTTTCTTCATATTTTACTGTTAATTTTCTTACTGATTATTATTATTATTATTATTATTATTATTATTATTATTATTATTATTATTATTAATTAATCAGTGAATTCTGTTTCCTTTTCTATTTCTCGTGAATTAAGAAACTTTTTTTATTATTCTAATTTTTGGTAGAATTTTTTTTTTTACTGTTTTCCTTATTATGACCCTCTTTTTTTTCACACCCTTCCGTTTCTTTTTTTTTCCATTTTCATTGAATTAAGACTCATTTTTTATTTTCCTATTTTACCAATTATTATTAGTCATAATCAGTAAATTCCGTTTATATTTTCATTTTTAGTGAATTAATGATCTTTTTTTACTGATTATTGTTAGTTTTAATTAATTAGTGAATTCCGTTTCATTTTCTATTTTTTTGTGAATTAAGGATCTTTTTTTCTATTCTACTACTAATGTTTTTACTAATTATTATTAGTATTATTAATTGATAATTTTTTTTTTATAGTTTGTGCGGGAAACTAAATTAGAGATCATGAGTTTGATTCCCAGTGAGATTGGTATAGATATTATATTATAACAAACTTTCTTTTTTTTTTTTTTTTAGTTAAGGCTGAATATGTCATTCAATTAGATTTTTTTGCTAGTGGATTTTTGAAAAAATTGTTAATAATTGATCAATTTTAAATTATACAAATAAGATTTAATATAATGTTTGCATTGAAAACCACTAAAAGCGACAACCAACCTAGAAAAAATGGCCAAAAGACATTCTAAGTACACTATCTATCTACCCACTCTATAGTATAGTGGGATACACACACAACAGGTTGTTCATAGGTGTAAGTCATTAAGAACTTGATTAAGTAATCATTTCTTTAGTTGACAATTTAAAATTCATAAACTATCCCCTTCTCCCTTTTATATTTTCCCCTCCGATCCCTTTTATCCTTTAATTTATCTTTTTTAAAAAATATTTTTAATTGGTGGGAATATATTTTACCCCCAACCACTAGCTAATGAAATGAACGTGTGCACTAGGTAAACTTTATTATTGTATAACAACTCACCTGCAAACTACACATGAAAAATCTTGTGCAACAGACTCAACTACGAAAGTGTTGGCAAGAACCGAACACATGACCATTCAAATACAAAAATCATACTCTATCTGATAATTCTAATTGGCCACCCCTGCTAGGGCCTTCACTCTTACTTCTTAACTTAACAAATTAAGTGTCCCCCCAAGTGCCCATCAGTCCCTCTACCTCCGATCCCAACTATCAACCTCATCTGGACTTGGCCCTCTAGGCCTCCACACAACGATAAGAAGGATACACAGTATTTATTAAAAACTAAACTATTTACATCTACTCTTTTGTTGACACGCAACATTAGAAAATGAGATATGCCTATTCCCGGGTGGAAGATTGCATCTAGGAATGTAGGATAGAATTTTGACAGCTGTAGTGTGGGAGTTTCACCCTCTTATGAGGGTGACTCATTGTGAAACCAGCTACTGGATGGTCCTCCCACATAAGGGACTGTTGAGTCATCGTGATTTAAGTTTAGGGTGTGACGTGGAGATTTTGGAGCGGGAGATTTTACTTTCTATGTCCAAAGAAAATAAGATATGTCTAATTAACACTCGTAAGCAATGACACAATCTAGATATAAGTAATTAGATCGAACCGTTTTAAATTTTTTGTCAACCCAACAAGATGTTGCACTTTGAGTGTGTTAAAATTTTCTATAGTTTGTACTTTCATGAATTTAAATGTTTTTCCCTTTTGCTCATTTTAAGTGTGATTAGTTTTCCTAGCTTTCTGGTTTAGTTTCCATAATGAGTAGAGTTGAAACAAGACACCCACACTCAACTTCTATGCACGTTACACATGTACACTTTCATTCCCAACAGAAAACGGAGACAAAGAATTAATGATCAAAGAGACCTAGGATAGAAGTAAGAAAACATAATAAAATATCAATTTTAGAAAATTATACGGAGTATAGTTGTTAAGATTGTCACATTTTGCGATGTTTAATACCTGTGGGTATTTTCAATCACATTTATATACCAATCTATAAATTTTAAAATCTGCCCGAAAAAGGTGACTAAGTTGTACCAGAAAGTTAAGTGTTCAGTTCTTGTCAATATCCTCTCAATCGAACTAATTGCATAAAAAAATTTTTAGTACAATTTACCTCATGTGTGTTTGTGACGTGCGCATCAAAATATTTTTTTTTTTTTTTGGAGAAATTTAAGTTGTGCTCATGCGATCAAATTGGTTGACATTCGAGATTTCTTACCTAGAATGAGGTTTTTGGTTAAAACATCATTTCATGCATTTTATGTATATAAAAATTGTTGTTTTTTAGGTAAATTTATTTATTGGACAAAATGAATTCCTTGTTGAATCAAATAAGGGACGAAATACATCGGATCAAATAACACTATGTTCGGGGTATAAGTTATAACTCAACTAACCCAAATTGATTAGATAATTGATCGAGTAATCACAAGATAAAACTGTTTATTGGTCTTTTTATTTGAGTCGATCTATGAACAACTTAAATTGATCATTGGGGTTATAATTGTTACACGAAAATTCATTTGAACAAAATTTTAATATATACTAAAAAATGAACATATCTTGTCATGGTTTACGATATAATTTTGAAAAGCCAAACACCAACAGACCATGGCAATAAAGGGGGTGCTTGGTAAATAGCTATTAGCTGATTGGGTTAGTGAGTTTGACTAGTTGATAACATTAACTGATTGTAGAAAGATGTTTGGTAAATTAGCTGTTAGCTGAGAGCTGATCACATACGAAAATAACTTCCTAAAAAAAACTGATAGAAAAAGTTGTTTTGAGTAGTTTTTTAAATTTGAGTGTTTTGAAGTGTTACAAAAAGCTAATTAATCAAACATTCATGTTAATTATTTAACCAAGTCAAACAGACAATAGTGATCAAACAAGTCAAAATTAACGTATCCCTTGCAGACGCGGCAAAACTCCACGAGAAAAAAGCACAAATCGCTCTCTGCTAACTACTACATACATACCAGATGAAAATGCAGAAAATGAATGCAAAGAATTATTGAAGAAAAAATTGCGGCGGCGATAATATACCTTCATGATGGCGGAGACCCATAGGCGGCGGCCGGCGGCGTTGGTTCCGATGATGGTTGTGAGAGGCTGAGTGCGAACCTTGTGCCATAACCAAGCATGATACCCCAAGCATATCAAGAACCCCAATGGAACCAAAACAACATCCAAATAAGACTTCTTCCATTCCATATTCTTGAATTGATTATTGCCTCTGTACCTACACCAAACGTGGCCTTAAATTTGCGTCTTGTGTATGTATAGTTATGGCAATGTAAATATGCGTGGTAGAAAGCACTATATATAGAGGAAACGTACCGTAGTGAGGGGAAAGATGGGGGATTTTTTTTTTTTTTTTTTTTTTTTTTGGGGTGGGGTTACGGGTAACCTACAACTACTAATAGACTATCTAAGAGTGTGCATTAAGTAAATTTCGTTCCTCCTGTGTAATAGTCAGTAAACCATATAGGAAAGGTAAGTCGCATTTTAAAAAAATTTTGAGCAATGAACTCGATTAAGAAGGTATTGACAAAAATCATGCTCGCTCCACCCACTTAGCCATTTTTTTTGGGACATTTAATTATTTTCGACATAATGCATTCATATTATTTATTTGAAGTTAACTATTATGTACTTTCAGTTAACCGTTATGTACTTATAAATAAACTGAAGATATATAATAATTGTAATAGGTTCATAATTTGTTAACTAAATATAGACTATTTGTTAATGATAAATATATAATTTAGACTGAGTCTACTATGTGCATGGTAGACCCTGATTCATGAGAATATAACAATTGCTTTATAGTGGAAAGAAGAAAAAGAAAACTATATCCTTAATATGGCCTATTTTGTGGGCTACTTTAAGGGGAGTGTTTGGTTGGGAGAAAGGAATTAGGGAGGAAATGAATTGTAATACGGTGGGATAAGAATAAGGTATGAATAATGTAGGAATTCAAATTACATTGTTTGGTAGGGAGAAATAGAATTATTGAAATTTGGAAGGAAAGAAGTGGTGTAAAGACTAAAATACCCTTGTGTAATAATAAGAGTAATAATAATCAAGGATAGTAGTGTCATTTCATATAATTTTTCCTTTCCCACATCCATTGAATTGCAATTCATGAGCAATTCAACAAAAAGAAGGAATTGCAATTCGGTGGAATTGCATTTTCATCCAACCAAACAATGTAATTAATGCTTTCATTGAATTACAATTCAATTACAACTAAACTACATCCAACTAAACGCCCTGTAAATAATAGAATTTTTAACTTGTGTGTACGTGATGGCGACATGGCGTACATAAAAGTTGTGTCATAATTAATGTTCGTGGTACCAGAAAATAAATTAGTAACGTAAACCACAAAGTGTTTTGGATTTATCTCCGCTTTCATGAAAAAGTAATCGTTATTGTGTGGATCATGATCCATACAAGTTGTATGAATCATATTTTGTATAGTGTAAAATAATGTACATTCAGTACAAAAATAATGTACATTATATTCAGGGGATGTATATTATTTTTGTACTGAGTGTACATTATATTGTATAATGTACATACAGTACAAAAATAATGTACATTTAATATATTATAAATGTACTTTTTATTATGGTCCACCGAATAATTTACCATGAAAAAGCTCATTTAGTACTTCAACTACATTTTTGGGTTTACTAATTAGTATTGCATTAATGGCTAAAAGAAAATTGGGCTTGTTTATGGTGATGATGATAATTAAATTACCAATATTCACCATATTATATTAGATATTTAGATATATATGGAAATGTGTTTTGGACCATCACAGCTAAGTTGGTTGGCACCTAATCATTTAGTCTAAATAACTCTCAATCACAATTCGATTATAATCATTTAATCATATATAAGACTTGGTGATTTGTAACTAGCCTTTTAAAATAGTCCAACTCTTATAAGCTTCTCGTTGTTCACACGTCAAATCCTCAATGTGGTATTGTATTACACAATTAAAAATTAATCACGTATAAATTGAGAGATAAACAAAGCATTGGGTAATAATAAATAAAAGAAGCGGCGGAAAGCAATGGCACTATCCCACTTTCGTAATAAAACTAATATATAGTGTGCACATTTTTCCCATTTTCTTTTTCTTAGAAAGTGATACTAGACAAATCCTATGTGATAAGTACGACTAAAAATGTGTTGACAAGAATCGAATTTGTGACTTATGTATGAGAATCAAACTCTATCCACTGAACAATTAAATTACAACGAATATGGATACAATTGGGAGGTGGGGGTGGGTGGGTGGGGTGGGGTGGGGCTAAACTTAGACATGGGTCCCGGGTGTCTAATTCCTGTTTATTTATGATTTATTGTGATTAATTTGTAGTTAATTGCTATTGGGTCAAATGGTACTCATAGTACCAAGTAGCAAATGAAGCCAGTTATTTTTTTCCCGGGTGACCAAGCTATAGCTAGCTATAAGCCTTGTTTGGTAAAATAGTTAATTTATAGACTAATTTTGACTTATTTGATAATTATTAGTTGTTTAATTTGGTTTAAAAATTAATATAAGTGTTTGGTTAATTAGCTTTTTGTACTCTAAAATGTTAAAATTCAAAAAACTACTCAAAGTAACTTTTTCAATTAACTTTTTGAGAAAAGAAATTATATATACCAAACAGCTATCAGCTAACAGCTAATTTACCAAACACCTTTTTACAATCAGCTAATGTTATCAACTAGTTATACCATCTAATTAACTCAATCAGTTAACAACCAACAGCTATGAGCTAACAGTCATTTACGAAACAGAGTCATAGTTATGCCAAATTTTCTGTCCCAAAAATATCCCGCACGCATATAAGAATGGAAATAGGTTAGGCCTCTTTGTAGGGATGATCTGGCCTAATTAAAGCCTAATTAGGCCCGCCTTTTTGGTAAAAAGGCTATGATTGAGTTTATTTTAAAGCCTATTAAACTAAATATGCTAGGCCCTATATATATTAGACCCGGCCTTCAGGCTTACAGGCCGGCAAATGTCCACACACTTGTGTGGACCACGGTCTAAAACGACATTATTGAATTTTTATGAGTTAGAATAATGTACATTATGAGTTAGAATAATGTACATTATGTGTTAGAATAATGTACATTATGTGTTAGAATAATGTACTTTATGTGTTAAAATAATGTACATTATATGTTAGAACTTAGAACTTAGAATAATGAAACTTCTGGGTAATTAGATAATGTACTTTATGAGTTAGAATAATATACATTACGCTTTAGAATAATGTACATCATAAATTATAAAATATATGTGCAATATAATTCTCATACTAAAAAGGTTATTAGTTCGATTATTGCCAATACTGTACTCTTTCGATTTCAAATTTTGCAATTACTATGTACACTAAAAAAAAAAGATCAAAGTGGAGTGTCAACGTAACTGTCAAGTAAGATTGAAAGCCTGAAAGGTGTTGCATTTCGAATGAATAAAGCTGGCCTTGAAAAAAAAAAAGGTTAGGTGGTAGCTTGAGAAAGTTGATGATAAACAGATTGCAAATGCAACAATAAAGTTAAAGGTTGTCAAGAGTTAGGCTCTGAAGAAAATAGTTAAACATGAACAAAATGCTTAACAAATATATTTCTTAATCACTTTGTCAGTGTAATATGATTCGAGACAGATCCGATTTAGTCTCGATTACAATAGTGAAAATACCGAATGTATGCAAGAAAAAAAAATCCTTAATTAATAAATACATTACCGAATCAAACTCTAAGGGAAAAATCTAGACTGAATCTGATTTAGTCTCATAGTAGTAATGAAAATACTAATGTTGTATGCAAAAAGTGAACAAATAAATAAATAAACATGAACAAAATACTTAACAAACACATCAGCCCAACCAAAATTTCAAAAAGTGAACAAATAAATAAATAAACATGAACAAAATACTTAACAAACACATTAGCCCAACCAAAATTTCTCCAATCATTATTGTATGGACCATGATGCACACAAGTTGTGTAGACTATATTTTGTCTACTGTAAAATAATGTACATTCAGTACAAAAATAATGTACATTTAATATTAAAAATGTACTTTTTGTTATGGTCCACGTAACATTGTACGTGTGGACCATAATTTGCCAAATTTCACTTTAACTAGTGGTATTAGTAGACTTTCTAATTTCATTAAAAAAAAAAAAAAACATTGAACTTATTAATTTAACAATTTCCATAAAAAGATGATCTACTTGACTAATTTTAAACTCGCAATCAAAGCGAGCTCAAAAAAAGATCAGTGTTGCTTTGTTAGCCATTACAGGCCGGGTAGTATAGAATTTAAGTCATACCAAGAAACAAATAAGTCATACCAAGAAACAAATAATGGATGTGTGGATTTGCAATCGTTATGCCATGGAACCATATATGTTCACCCTCCATGGTGAATACGGTCTCACTTTCTCTTTGCGCGAGCTTCTTCATTTTCACATTTCGCGGTCTCACTTTCTATTCGCGCAAACTTCTTCAACACTCATAAATTATGAATGTGTAGACATGGATTTATGAATGTGCAGTTATGAAATTATTAATTTTTTTATGAGATTATGAATTTTCTGTTATGAGATTATGAATTTACAAAAAATTCATAATTACATAACTGTAAATTCATAATCTCATAACAGAAAATTCATAATTTAATAAATATTTTTCTTTTATGAGATTATGAATTCTCTGTTATGAGATTATGAATTTACAGAAAATTCATAATTACATAAATGTAAATTCATAATCTCATAACAAAAAATTCATAATTTAATAAATATAAATTCTGTAAAAACGACGTCGTTTTAGAATGTGTTCACAAAGCATGGTAAACACGTTTCCACGGCATAATTTGCGGTGGATTTGGCATTATTGTGAATACTAATATATAAATATTTGAAAGTTATTCATAACTAATTGAAACATATCTCACAATTTACCTCCGGTCTCCACCCGTATTTAAGACAAAAATGCTGAGACTCTTAAATTTGGGTTCGAAGAGATCAGCTTTATCAAGGCAATTTAAAATATGAAATGGAGCTAATATAACTTAATTGGTTGGTGATGACGATGATTTGCGTATTTAATTTGGCTAAGGGAAGATATGTAAAGAGAGTTTTGGTTTAAACCACTAATGTAAAGGATACTAATTGTTGACATACACGTGTATTACCTTTTCAATAAGGACCAAAATTTTCTTTTTTGCCCACAATTTTT